TCTCCTTACAACCAAATATATAAAAAAAACGTTTAAATGAAAAAAGAAAAGGATGTTACCCCTAGCAATTGACTCATTCACAACATAAGGTTCATACTAAAATTTCAGTGAAACATCATCAGGTCAAATATCCAAAGCAAAGATCAAAACAAAATAAAAAAGTAAAAACTGAAGACAAATACATCAAGTTCTGCAAAATTTGTATCAATGCCATTGAATAAATAGATTAATCTATTAAGAAATGAATATTTACAAGGAACCAAGATTATACAATGAAACTACCTTTGCCTAGTTGTTTCAACCTCTCCTATAGTTGTTGTCAGAATCCCTTTGTTGGGGCAATGGTCAAAAACTTAGCCAAGCCCACCCACCATCCTTGCCATGGTGGCCTTCAACCTTCTGCAGGCCAAGAGTTTTAAATCTGGAAACCGAAATGATTAACAGCCTAAAATTATATTGTAAATACAGAGTATGGATATATTTAAGAAAAAAGAAGAAAAAACATTACCTTCATTGAATCTGCTCATCGCTCATATTATCTTCAAAGTTTAACTATCGTCAATCCCAAACCTGATTTAATCTGTTATTCGGTGAGAACCTGATGCTAATAAGGCTATGAAAAATCTCCATGAAAGCTACGCATATCTTGCAGCCAAACATCTTATTCTTTTGTAAAAGAAAAATATAAACTTAAAGTTAAGCAAATACTTGAATATGACTTATTGAGAAGAAAGTAATTCTCATAATTACAATCACTGTGATAAAAAATTAAGAAAAAGTGTTCAAAACTGTGTAATTTTTGTTGTTTTAAAGATTGATACAAATGTTAGTTCCTATAATCATATTACCCAATTTGACATGAAATGTATTGCGATCTCAATACAAATAAATTGAAACAAATCATATTAATTGGTGTGAAGATAATACTACAGATATCATTAAATATACCTCCCTATCACCTTGATCTTCACGAACCATCATCTTCATCAAGACACGTGCTCTTCTACTTGTGATTGGACGATACAGAGAAGATTAGCATGCCATGTGCAAGGATAACACGGACAAATTGAGAAATGGTCTGTTTTTTTACTGATTTTTCTATGCCTTTCTACTGTGTTTTGGGTTTCAACCTACGGATTTTGAATATTTGATGCCATTTAATAATATGCTAATTTAAAAAAAATTATTTGTGATTAAAAAATCAAGAAAAACCTAACACACCAAAAATGGACTGATTAGTGTATACTTCACGAAATGGATCTAAACAAACCATATACTTATTTTGAGATGAAGCTACAAATTTGATGACAGTAACAGGAAATTGATATGAAGATATATAGGAGTATAGATGGATTGAAACCTTAATAATGAAAAAAATATATGAAGGAATTGATGAAATTCGGATGTACTGTACCCGTTAGGTCAAAGCCGAGCAATGTTCCCATCGATTGATAACGATAACCTCCACTTTCTCCTTCTTTCTCAAGCTGCAATTTCCGTTCGATTAATAGGATGCAAATCTGGTTAAAAAGTCCTGGATCTGGACGTGCTTTAGTGGGTGGTTGAGACATAGATTGCGGTTTTTAACCCTATATATTTAACAGCAACCGACGTCGTATTGGTCATAGCACAACTGAGCGGGAAATTTTTCCTGTTGCTATTGTAAATAGGAGGATTTGCCATCTCTTTCTTTCTATGGATTTCAATTGAGTAATTTATTACGGAGTACTTAAATAGGACTAAAACATAATGACTTTCTCAATATAGGATCATATGTTTTTATTTCCCAATGTTTGACCTTTGGTCATTATCTATTAGTCATTATTCAACTAAATGTCCAGCATCACTTGGACATTATTCTTGTCACTAGTCATTATTCAGTTTATTTAGAGAATAAAAAAGTTTAAGTCTTATATTGAGAATGATTTATGTTTTAGTCCTATTCACTGCAAATTTCCCATTTCAACTCAACTTTAGATCCATGTTCCAATTAAATATTGTTTAATACTCTTAAATTTAATGATTTACACCGCTGCTTCCGAAAATTGTTTAATTTTATACTAATGCTCCATCATGCCAACTAAGCAGAATACATGACATTTTAAATGATGACTGTAAATTATTAAGTATGTGTTGATAACTATTGAGTGATAAACATAAAAGAAAATAATATTTCAGACAAAATAAAAAATTTTGAAGCACATATTTTATGATCAAATTTATATTTCATGGAAACATCTTTAAAATATAAATTCTGGACTATATCAACTTTAAAATTTTCTAATTTTTATCAGAAATACTATATCAACTTTATTTTTCAATTTTAATGCATTTTTATTTTAAATAGACATGAGTGGAGGGGGTAATTATAATTTATAACGCATTCAAGGTATTTTATTTATTTTTATAATTAATTACCAGCTCATACTTAATAATTATCTTGTAATGGCACATTAACTGCTTAGTTGGAGTAATAGTGTTAAATTGAGTAATTAATTTCTAGGTATAGTGGTGCAAATTATTTAATTTTGGAGTAGTATTGTAAAATCACAAATTTATTGGAGTATTAAAGTGAATTTTTCCTTAAATATTCATGTATATTTTCCATCTCGTTAGTGCGCCTTCACTATAAAATTTAATTCCGAATAGGATTTTGAGATGCTTGCCACTTGCCAGATTCCAGATCGTGACGGGGAGGAGCAAAATTTAGTATGTTCATCAATTTAATTGTTTCTAAAAATTAATTGTTTATTTCAATTGCTATAAATTAAAGTTTACTAAAACATTCTATATGATTTTTTGTCTTGATAAAAAATTTAAAATACTTTGTTTGTTAATAATTTTATGAAAAAATCGCTAAAGTGAATAAAATAAGAAGTTAAATTTTTATCTAAATAATAAGTTAATTTGTTTGCCTAATATCATAAAAAAATAAGCATAAACCGTACCATCATATCAAAGATTGAGGTGTTAAATATGGCACATATATCACTCCTTTTAATTAGAAGTTCGTGTTTCCATATTTACCTAGACTTTACACACACACACATGTTTTGGTTTTCGTGAGAATGCGATCTTACGAAGGAAATAAGAATGAATCTGGTGCTTTAGATTGTGAGATCTAAGGGTCAGAATTGTATCAAAATTAGATGCACCAAAATGGTTAGAAAATGCGTCATAAAAAATGCACCAAAATCCTTTGAAAATGCACTATCTCAAAATCTGAGCGCAGGAAGCAATCTGAGCCGCACGATGCATCAGATCCAAAGGCTAGATTTGATATATATATATATATATATATATATATATATATATATATATATATATATATGGATTGACTCCAGTGAGATGACACTTTATGGTAAGATGACATGCTTCAATCAGATGACACAACACACAACACTGCCAATGGAAAGCTCACCAACTATCAATGCAAAGCTCACCACTTTTTTAAAATAAAAAAAGTTAAAAAAAATAGCACCACCACTCAACCACCGGTCCACGGCAACAGTGGGGGTCATCGGTGGTGGCCATTGGTCATGGGCGCTAAAAGTGTAAAGCTCACCAACTGTCAATGCAAAGCTCACCAACTGTCAATGGAAAGCTCACCAAGAAACAATGCAAAGCTCACCACTTTTTTTTAAAAAAAAGCTAATAAAATTGCACCACCGGTCCACGGCGGTAGTCTGCAACGGTTGGAAGTCAGCACCACCGCCCTTTGTTTTTTTTTTGAAATCATTTTATACTTTAAAGTGAGGTGAGATTTGAGCACATATTCGGTGAGCTTTGCAATGATAATCAGTGAGCTTTGTTGCTGTGCTTTGTAAGCATTTAACCATCAAAATTTGAAAAAAAAAATAAAGTGTTGGAAAATCATGATGAGTTTTGTAGTGGACAGTGGTGAGCTTTGCACTGATCAATGGTGAGCTTTGCAGTGATCAGTGGTAAGCTCTAGCGTCATCTGACTCAAACATGTCATCTTACCATAAGGTGTCATCTCACCAGAGTCAATTATATATATATATATATATATATATATATATATATATATATATATATGCACACACATACTCTCTCCGTCTTAAAACATTCTTCCTGCTTCAGTTTACAAGGTTTGATTGAAGTTACTTTTAATTTCATTTATCTCATTATAGGTGTAAAACTAAAAAATAAAATATATAGTGTATATATTTAAAACTACATAAAAAAATTTACTCTCCGATCCTAAAAACTTTTCTCAGTCTTTTTTGACAAACAATGACACTCTTTAATCATAAATTATAAGAAAAATATATTTAATTATAATACAAATTTAATACTCCCTCCGTCCCTAAATAAACTTCCGTTTTTGACTTTTTGAGGATTTAAGGAAGAGATATTTTGGTATTGACTTTCCAAAAATACCCTTGATGTGATGTGTAAAAGTAAGATATAATATGTAGATTATTAGTAAAAAGATATGATGTGATAGGTATGGTATAAAAAAGTACTCTCTCCGTCCCGGAGTATTCGTCCAGTTTTGACTTTTGGAACTGTTCATCTAAGTACTTTGACTCATCAAATTCTCTCAATGTGTAAGCTTAAATATAGTCATGTGTGATCTTGTTTGATTTGTCTTAACATATAGATTATTAATATATAATTTCTATAATTTTTTAATATACAAATTACAAGATAAAATGGATTAAAGAAGTGCATTGGATGGTGTGTAAAAATGAAAGTGGACAAATACTCTGGGACGGAGGTAGTAAGGGGTAAAAATGGTTTTTTAAGAGAAAAGAGAAATTTATTTGAAGACAAAGAAAAAACGAAAAAGAAAGTTTATTTAGGGACGGAGGGAGTATAGTATAAGTAGTTCCTCCTATGATATGCTTTTATAAATCAAATTTTATATCATTAGTTTATTTAAATTTTGTTTTATTTATGATCAAAGGGTATCACTGTTTAAAAAAATCAAAATATGAAAGATTTTTAAGACTGAAGAGAGTACAAACAAAAGGGAACATAACTACTTTTTATCGACTGATGAAAATAGATAAAGAAAGCAATTAGTGAACGATATATATCTTAGAGAACAAGGTGAAATGCAAACATTACATTGAACACCAATTGGCAACATGCATACATGCGGATCGAACCAGTTGAGCATGACCAAAATAACAAAAGGAAAAACAAAGAAAGAGGTTTCCAAGAACATCACATACTGATCCTAATCAGACCCCAAAAAGGGATCATCATCACAGAGGAAACCTCACAATTTATTATTACTCATTATTATTCCACCATCGGGTCACACCATATTTTATTTTTATTACTAGTACACGGAAATGGTAAATCTCAGCTGGCAACGACGCTGGTCCATCAACCTAACCGTCAGCTTCACTTCACGCTGCGGAAAAAAAAAACACATATTAATATAAAATGGAACAAGAAAAAATACTACATAAATCGTGTTTGTTTTTCGACCTCATATATATATATATATATATATATATATATATATATATATATATATATATATATATATATATATATATATATATATATATATATATATATATATATATATATATATATATATATATATATATATATATATATATATATATATATATATATATATATATATATATATATATATATATATATTTAAGGTAGTTATTGTTTTATAACGTACTTGGCGCAGTTGGTGGACATGCTGATTGCGTAAGGAATGTTAACGCCGCATTTACCGGGAAGGCCAGCGGCGGTTTGGGGATTGAGCCCATTTACGCTCCCAGCGACGCTTTTAAGGCAAGTGCAAGCGGTTTTACGGTCGGGGGTGGTTTGAGCCATGCTGTTTAGGCTTTTGACGCCGGCGCAGCAAGCCGGCGGCGGCATGCCCGCGGCTCCCTTTAAGTAATTCAAGCAAGGGCCCAGGGAGCTCGCAACCTGGCCGCAAGTGATGGCTTCGGCACGGGGAGCGAAAGCCACCGCCAAGACGCACACCGCGGCGGCGGCAAACCACACTGCTGATGATGATGCCATTGCTGGCTAAGATAGATAAGTTTAAAGGGGACTTGGTATTGTTTTGTAATAATTAGGCGCTTTTGGGGAGGAGAAGGTATTATTATTATTATTATTATTATTATTATTAGGGAATGAGGGCAGGGGGGATTTTATAGGGGAGGATTTCTGGTTTATTACTAGCAGTAGTACGAGTATGTAGTAGTTTAGTGTGAACCTAACCGACGACGGAGAGCGCGAGGCAGGTTTTGCAGTACGTACCCCATGCGGAGTAATTAAGTGGTGGCCGGCCTGTGTGATTGACAGTTGGGAGTAATAAATGCGACCAATATCTCCTCTCCCCTTCCCTTTCCCGCAGTGTGTTATGGTGGCGACGTTCATTCACCACGACGGAGTTCCGTGAGGAGAGTGTGGCCCCTTCCTGCTTGAGGGTCACCTAACGTTGTCCCAATATTTTTTTCCTTTTTTTAGCAGACATTCATGGTTCATCATATTTTTTCACACTTACCATAAGAGTGTTTTTCATCACACATGGCCAAATGTACTCACTTTAAGAGCCTGTTCTTTAGGGCTTGAATTCTTAATTTCCAATTTCTTTCAGATTCTTCCTGTTCCTTCTAGTTTCTTCTAGTTTCTTCCAGTTCTTCCAGTTCCTTCTAGTTTCTTCCACTTTCTTTCAGTTTCTTCCTGTTCCTTCCAGTTTCTTCTAATTTCTTCCAGTTTCTTTCACTTCCTTCCAGTTTCTTCCAATTTCTTCCAAATTTTCTCATTTTCTTCAAATTCTTTCTCCTCCTCAGCCAATTACTCTAAAAATGATATATTTCAATGTGATTATTATTATTATTACAACTTTTATATTCATAACTACGGAGTATATTTTATAGATTATTTTTTTCATCTCGATCACTATTTTTACAATTCACACTTATTATTTTTTTCTTCAACTTTTTAATATAAATAAGACATTTTTTTGTATATTAGTGTAGAAATTTGATAAAACTGATCTGCTTGATTAGATTACCGAAAGACGTTTATATACAAAGTACATAGACGGGCTAGGTCAACAACGAGCCCAATAGTAATACTACACAATGCTACATAAGTATACACAACAAATATCCACTAACACTCCCCCTCAAGTTGGCGCATGAAGATCCTGAATGCCCAACTTGCGCAGTAAGAATTCAAAGATAGATCTCGACAAAGGTTTGGTAAAAATATCTGCCAACTGAAATTGAGTCGGAACATACCGAGTCGAAATCTCATGCCGCTGTACACTCTCTCGAACTGTATGACAATCGACATCCACATGCTTCATTTGCTCATGAAAAACTGGGTTAGCTGCAATATATAAAGTAGACTGATTGTCGCAATATAAACGAGGAGGATATAAAATAGGGACTCCCAAAGCAAGAAGAATTTCGCGCATCCAGCGAACCTCCACACAAGCATTCGCCATAGCCCTGTACTCAGCCTCCGCAAAAGATCGAGCCACTGTTGTTTGCTTCTTCGTCTTCCAAGATACCGGAGAGGTACCTAACATAATAAAATATCCGCTAACAGAACGACGAGACGTCGGACAGCTAGCCCAATCCGAATCACAATAAGCTGATATCTGAAGATTACTAGTTGCACTGAGAAAGATGCCCTGACCGGGATGACCCTTAATGTACCGGAGTACACGCATGGCTGCATTCATGTGATCCAGAGTGGGGGCCTGCCTAAACTGAGAGAGCACATGAACAGCAAAACAAATATCCGGGCGAGTAATGGTAAGGTAGATCAACCGCCCCACAAGACGGCGGTACCGCGCGGGATCACGAAGGGTAGCGGCGGTCGACCGGCCGAGATCATGTGACGTGGGGAGAGGGGTCTCGGCGGGTTTACATCCCAGAAGCTCGGCTTCCTGTAAAATTTCCAAAGCATATTTACGCTGACACAACACCATCCCCGAGGCCGAACGTGCACATTCAATACCCAAAAAATACTTAGCCGGACCTAAGTCTTTGAGCTGAAAACATTTATCCAAATAGCGTTTAAAAGTAGTGCAAAAAGAGGAGTTGTTACCAGCAACCAGAATATCATCAACATACACCAAAACAGTAAGAATATCTGGGCCTCGGCGAAGAATAAACAAGGTATGGTTTGATTGGCGCAAACCATACAAAGATTTGCGAAGGCGACAGACTTTCCCGGGAACAGAAAATCCGGGGGGCATGCGCATATACACCTCTTCAATAAGATCTCCATTTAAAAAAGCATTATTAACATCAAGTTGATGGATCTCCCACCCCCGCGCCACTGCCACAGATAATAAAATACGTACCGTACTCATTTTTGCTACGGGAGCAAAAGTATCTGTGTAATCTTTACCATACTCCTGATGATTCCCCAAGACCACCAAACGAGCTTTGTCCCGCTCTTTGGTGCCATCAGAATGAAACTTAGTACGGTATACCCATTGACATCCAAGAGCAGCCCGATCTGGTGGAAGGTCTGTCACCTCCCACGTGTGATTATTTTCCAAGGCCCGGATTTCTTGTTGCATCGCTTGTCTCCAATTGGCATGTTGCATGGCCTTTTTAAAAGATGTAGGGACATCGCACGTAGTAACGGCCGCAAGATAGCCTCGATACCTGTCATGCAATTTCTCATAACAAACAAAGTTAGTGATAGGATAACGAGTACCTGATGGCGTAGACGGGACGACAAAAGGCGCAATGGGAGCAGTCAACCGGGCTGTGTGACAATAATAATCGGACAACCGGGCGGGAGGTCGCCGATCACGGGTAGGGCGGATTGGCAACGACGGACTGTCTGGGGCAGTCTCGCCGTCGCTTTTGGTCTGAGTGACGGGCTGCCCGGAGGGAGACGGCTGGGGGGTTGGGTCGGGTGGTGTCGCTGCCGTGGGTGGGGTAGGTGGGAACTCGGCGTGGACGGGCTGTGAAGAGGACTCCGTTACCTGTTTAGAATGAACAGGTAAAGCAAACGGAAACACTGTTTCTTCAAAAGAAATATCCCGAGCATGAAAAAATTTGTGAGTTTCAAGATCATAAACTCGCCAACCCTTTGTGCCCGTAGGATACCCCACAAACATACATTTGAGACTACGGGGAGAAAATTTATTTGGTGGACGAGGAGTAACAAGAACATAGCATAAACACCCAACACTCTAAGAAGAGACAAGTCTGGAGGTTTTGAAGAAAGAAGTTCAAACGGTGACTTTCCCTGTAAAAGAGGTGTTGGTGTACGATTGATAAGATACACAGCAGTACGCACACATTCACCCCAAAATTCAATAGGTAATGACGCCTGAAACATCAAGGAACGAGCAACGTTTAATATATGACGGTGTTTACGTTCAACACGACCATTTTGTTGAGGCGTATGAACGCAAGATGTTTGAACAAGTACCCCCATGGAAGTATAAAACTGACGCAAAGGTTTATTCACAAACTCAGTACCATTATCTGTGCGAACAGTTTTGATAACTTTCCCAAATTGTGTGTGGATCATTTGAAAGAACTGTTTTAAGCAACTCGTTACCTCTGTTTTGTCAACAATAAGGAATACCCAAGCAGCTCTAGAATAATCATCAACAATAGTGAGAAAATAATGAGATCCAGTAGATAAACATGGTGAATAAGGACCCCATCCACAAGTCACACTGGATTAAATCAAACAAGGCATCAGCTTTATTAATACTCGGAGAAAAAGACGATCTAGCTTGCTTTGACAAGAAACAAATATCACAAGACTAAAAATTTTTAATTTCAGCAGTGCTTTTATTGAATGGAGGTAAAGATAAAACTTGAGGTGATGGGTGCCCCAGTCGCTGATGCAAAAGAGAAACGGACTCAACTTTGGATGCTTGGCCGAAGGAAGGGAAAACATACATCCCATTGCGTGCTTCACATCGTCCAATCTGCGTCTTCGAAGTTCGGTCCTGTATCACACAAAATTGTTCATCAAAGAAAACATGACAGTGATGAGTACTAACAAGACAGTTCACAGAAATCAAGTTGCACGTCAAATTTGGTACATGCAAGACATTAGTAAGAACCAACGCAGGAGACACTCTCACGTTTCCACTTAACTTGGCTATGACACGTGCCCCGTCCGGTAGACTGATAGTACAAGGGGGCACTGATTTAACATTCGTCAAACACGACAGATTCCCCGTCATATGATGTGAGGCCCCACTGCCTACAAGCCAATCACAAGAAATAATACCGGGTTTACCTTGTAACTTGTCAGACGAGGATGGAGATGAGTCAAGCATCGAGAACAAACGAGCAACTTGTTCGGGCGACAAAGCGGAGAGGGAGGGGGCTGCCTCGGTCGCTGCATGCGCCGACGGTCCAGCCGTGCCGCCTGGGTGGCCCGCGGCAGTAGGCACCGTGGGTGCCGGCTGTGCACCCGTCTTTCCTCCGCGATTCCCACGTCCTCCCCCACGACTTGAAGATTGGCGGCCACGGCCAACCGTGTGTCCCGATTTACCGCAATGAGAGCATTGATACACCGGAGAGCTTGCACGAGGCGCAGCAAACGCCATAGCGTCAGTGTGATCGTCCCTTGAACGCACCACATTTTTATGTCTCTCCTCTTGGGTTATTAAATAAAATGCCTTGTTTAAATCAAGCAACGGTTGTGTGCCAAGGATTTGACCTCGAATACTACCGAACTGATCATCATCAAGGCCCAACAAAAACTTACGAGTTTTTGATCGTTCGGCTCTTTCCTTTAACATTGCCGCCGCCTCACACTTGCACCCGCAAGTGGGATCTTCCATGCCATACAATTTATTCCAAAGAGTGACAAATTGATTATAGTGAGCAACCACCGTCTGACCCTTTTGACGAAGATTCTGCAATTCACTTTCAAGTTGATAAATGTGAGGCTCATTCACAGTGCTGTAGCGAGCCTTTAAATCAGTCCACAACTCGTGAACAACGGTATGCGAAGCAATACTCGGTTGGATTGTTTCATCAACACTATTTGAAATCCAACTGCAAATTGTGGAGTTATTTGCCTCCCACGCCTCAAGTTCCATAGGCTCCGTTGGTTTAGGCATTCCAATAGACGACAAAAAACCTGCCTTGCTACGACCTTTCAAGGCATTAACAATGGTCTTTTCCCATGTATCAAAATTTTCACCTTTCAA